CGCCAAGTTGCCCAGGCGGGTCTCGAACCCGCAGGCTCAGACAATCCACTCACCTCAGCCACCCAAAGGCGTGGGATTACGGCTGAGCCACTAAGCCCGGCTAGGACCCAATTCTTAACCTTAAAAATGCATGAAAGACCCCTGTCTGCTACCTTTGGGTAACACAGAAATCTCATAATAAGATGGTAGAAACAGGGCTGGGCTCGGTAGTTTAGCCTGGAATCCCAGCACTCTGGATTGCTGCTGCATTGCCTGAGGCTATGGGTTTGAGACCAGCCTGTGCAACTTGGCTCTATACTAAATAAAAGATTTGTGGGGCATGGAAGTGTATGCCTGTAGTTCCGGCTACTTGGAAGGCTGAGGCGGAAGGATCACCTGGGTGATAGAGTGAGACTCCAACTTAAATAAATAGACAAAAACACTTGGTAAATACGTTGACAACACTTGACATTCCAAACTTAAAAGATGGCAAAGAAAATTTCCTTTCACGCCTCCAATTTAAAGGCATGTACTTCTGAATCCTGCTCCCCTTATTCCCCTCTTCAGTTGCCGTTTTGGTGCCAGTTCAGTGAATTCTTCAGTCGAACATTCCGTAACCCTTACAATGTATGAAGTTTTACATTAATTTCATGCCACCTAATAGATGAACAACTTGTCCTGGCGTTCGCTTGTGACTACTGAGCTCAGGCACTGGCCTTGCTTGAAGAGATTCTCATTCGCTTCTCCCTATTCACCTGCATCCTTCCCACAACTCTCTTCCCTCCTTTAGCCTTAAGGCGCCAGACGAGAAGGGTTCAGAGTCTATCCCATCAGTGCTTATTACACAGGCCTTCCTTAAGTCACACCTTTCCCAAAATGTCTTCACTTACCTGCTTCCAAACAAGAATTACCCCTCTCTACTTTGAAGACATGTCTGCTTGTACAGGTGTTTATTACTACAAAAGTTTCCTCTATTCTAGCTTTAAAAATATCCATCCCAGATTGCTGCTATTCCTTATAGGACTTAAAATAGCCCCTGGTCACTTTTTTTGAGTAGGAGTCTCTCTCTGTTGCCCATGCTAGAGTGCAGTGGCACCATCACAGCTACCGCAGCTTCGACCTGCTGAACTTCCAAGTAGCTGGAGTTACACACGCGTGCCACCATGGCCGACTAACTTTTGGATTTATTACAGAGACCAGATTTTGCCAAGGTGCCAAGGCTGGTCTTGAACCCCTGCACTAGGCAATCCACTCACTTCAGTCTCCCAAAGTGCTAGGATTAACAAGCATGAGGCATCATGCTTGGCTAAAATTTACTTTTTTAAACCCCAGATTTTCTCTCCCAAGTTCTCTTAGGAAATTTGGAGTTTAGAAAACACAACTGATTTTGAAAACCAAATTCCCACCTGTTTCAACAAAGGTTTGTTTACTAATAAGCAAATAACGACTTATAGTTCATTAAAGGGATTTCTCAATAAGAAAACCTGAAATTAGGCTTCAAAATCTGGGATGGCCTTCCTAGCTGGGTGAAGAGTGCACTTGGAGAAGATGGCCTTCCTAGCTGGGTGAAGAGTGCACTTGAAGAAATCGGGACAGTCCCAGGAAATTCCAGAGATGCCACCAAAGAATCAACAGGGAATGGGGCTTTGAAGATAAAAACCTCTCTCTCCCTATTGTGTAATTCTTTCTTCCTTCCATTTAAAAAACAAGAAGTTTTATAGGAAAGTTAAGTAGACCTTGTGGCTACCATAGAATGAAAAATGCTAAACATCTGACTGAATTACCCAGCATTATTTCCTTTAAGATTTACAGATGTGAGGGAATTGCCCAACTGGTCCATTTTGTTTAAAATTAGAATTTTGGAGAATTATTGGCAGGGAAATGGCAGAAAGTAAGAAATGAAAACAAAGGTAAAGTGAAATGGCCCCCCTTAACTATAAAAATTAGCTGGGCACGGTGGCTCACGTCTGTAATCCCAGCACTTTGGGAGGCAGAGGCAAGAGGGTTGTCTGAGTCCAGGGGTTCGAGAGCAGCCTGGGCAACTTGGTGAGACCTCATCTCCACGATAAATCAAAAACTAGCCAGGCACGGTGGTGCATGCCTGCAGTTCCAGCTACTTGGAAGGCTGAGGTGGAAGGATCCCTGAGCCCACTAGGTCGAGGTTGCGGTGGCCGTTAGCACGCCACTGCCCTCTAGCCTGGGTGACAGAGTGAGACTCCAACTCAAAGACAAAATAAAAATAAAAATAAAAATGAGAATTCAACACATCTGTTCATTTGGGGCAAGTAAAGACTAAAGAGTACAGAAGCCAAACTTATTCCTCAGTCGTAACCTAAGTCCATTTCAGGACCTTCGTTTTAAACTACTTAATAATAATCAAGAAACCTGCCAGGCACGTTATCTATTGTAAAAATACAAGCTGGAGTTAGCTGATTTTTAACCTGAATGTGCTCAACTTTGTTGCTACTGACAGGGTCCCACTATGTTGCCCAGGCTGGCCTCAATCACCTGGGCTCAAAAGACCCTCCTTCCTCAGCCGTCCAAGTAAGTGTGTGCCACTTTAAGATGGCGACGCAATTTTACTACAGTTAAGCTGACTATTAGTACTAACTACTGTTGCCAGGGCATGATTATTTTTATTTTTATTTTATTTTTTTCAGTTGGAGTCTCACTCTGTCACCCAGACTGGAGTGCAGTGGCATGCTCCCGGCCACTGCAGCCTCGACCTGCTGGGCTCTGGTGATCCTTCCTCCTCAGCCTTCCAAGTAGCTGGAACTACAGGTGCGCACTACCACGTCCGGCTAATTTTTGATTTATTGTAGAGATGAGGTCTTGTCAATTTGCCTGGGCAGGTCTCAAGCCCACAGGTTCAGGTAATCCACTTGCCTCGGCCTCCCAAAGTGCTGGGATTACAGACTGAGCCACCAAGCCCAGCCGGGCATGAATATTAACAGCATCCCTCCCTAGTCATTCTCAAAAGGATTCCAGTTCAGAAAATAAATTATACAGTCACCTTAATAGAGTACACTATTTAAAATTTAAGTAAACTTTTAGGTACTTTAGATCTGTCTGAGATACACTGGGTCACAAAAACTTAATCTGTCTTAGCTTCAGAAATAAGATGGAGGACGCCTCTCCTAGAAAGCCACTGTAACAGGAAACACTAGTTTTTCTTTCTTTAAAAAGACACCAGCTGGGCTCGGTGGCTCAGCCTGTAATCCCGTGCCTTTGGGAGGCCGAGGTGAGTGGATTGCCTGAGCCTGCGAGTTCGAGACCCGCCTGGGCAGCGAGACCTCATCTCTACAATAAATCAAAAAATCAGCCGGGCGTGGTAGCGCATGCCTGGAATTCCGGCTACTCGGAAGGCTGAGGTGGAAGGATCGCCGGAGCCCAGCAGGTGGAGGCTGCGGTGGCCGGGAGCGGCCACTGCACTCTAGTCTGGGCGACAGAGTGAGATTCCAACTCAAAAAAAAAAAAAAAAGAAAAAAGAAACCAGTTGTGTTGTGTAGAACATCTTTATTGCCAGGTATGTGCGCTTTTTCACAAAAAAAGATTAATATTATCATCCTTCTGAAAATTTTTCTTCCTGTGGAGGATGAGAAACATTCTTTGGCAAAGAAAACATCGAAATTTACACTGAAGCTGGGTGCAATGGCTCAAATCCCAGAACTCTGGGTGGCGGGGGCTAGGATTGCCTAGGGTTCGAGACCAGCCTGGGCAACTTGACGAGACCTCATCTCTGTAATAAATCAAAAATGAGCTGGGCGTGGTAGCGCGCGCCTGTAACTCCAGCTACTTGGAAGGTTGAGGCGGAAGGATCACCAGAGCCCAGGAGGTTGAGGCGGCGGTGGCCGGGAGCGTGCTGCTGCACTCCAGTCTGGACGACAGAGTGAGACTCCAACTCAAAAAGAAAAGATGGACAAGTTTATCTGGCTGTGGTGTGTATTAATTTTAAATGACAAAGAGCAAAAGTAAGTAAAAACGAAGTAATTGGGAAGTATAATATCAGATTCCAAATGATCCCTAAGAGAGACAAATTTGGGAGACAAGCTTGGGACCCAGACCCTCCTAGATCGAATTCTGGTTCTATCTGAACATGTGAAACAGTGACTACACAGCTTTCTCATCACAGCAATTTGCAAATTACTTAATTGTACCCTCCAATAAGGGCAGGGGTCCTAGCTACTATTAACTGCATAACCAGCATCCATCACTGTGCTTGGTATGTAATATGTGCTCTACAGTTGCTGAATAAAAATGGCTTTTTTACAGGTGATTGTTTTTCCTTTCTCATATATGTAAAAATATCTGAATAATTCATTTCCTGTCACTGCAGGTTACTCCTTACCTGCTTATTTTGCAGCAAAAATGATAACACACATGACCAATTTTTGCCTGATGTTCTAAAATTTAACCTTATGCCATTTAGGCTAGTAATACATACAACTATCTTCGACAAAATATTCAATGTAATAGTTCTAGTGAGGTAATTTCTAGTTTCAATTAATAACTGGTTGCCAAATGCAATTAGGAAATAAAACAATGTCCTTGCTATGTACCCACAGATTAAAACATTATTTTATTTTATTTTATTTTTTGAGTTGGAGTCTCACTCTGCCGCCCAGACTAGAGTGCAGTGGCATGCTCCCGGCCACCGCAGCCTCGACCTGCTGGGCTCTGGCGATCCTTCCGCCTCAGCCTTCCAAGTAGCCAGAAAAATGTATTTTAAAGACATGTAACAACATACCCATTTTCTTGTAGTACTCTTCCCAAGCCTTGGTATAATCAACCTGCCCAGCTGGAGCTGGATTCTGCTGATCACCTTGTTCAAGAAACACAAAAACAAGGTTAGTCTTTAGAAGGCAATTTTGGGCCTTTCCTTCTCTTTCTTGTGTGAGAGCTAGCAGTGGCCTGCTACAGGGCAGTGAGGGCAGGAGGTAAAAGCTGTGTGGTAGCAGTAAGCCTGCTGGTGCCAACGACAGCAGGCACAAGGGAACAGAGGTGGTAGACTGCGAAGACACTGTCTGAAGACTGACTGCATTGAGCACATAAGTAAATTGGGTGTCAAGTGAGTAAACACACCAAGGATACTCAGTTCCTAACTACTTCTAAGTACAAAAGGGAAAAGGCTAGGAAATGTTGAAATGATTTGGCGGGTGACAGGTAAAAAAGATTTTTTTAAAAATACACAGATGTGGATATCTATGATTTTAAAATATATGTGTGAGTGTGTAAATATAATTCCTAACTGTGCTCAAAGAAACTAGAAGCAATGACGCCTCTGTAGCAATGAGCATACTTAGTCTGGTTTCTAAACACCATCTTCTACTAAAGGGAAACAGAGCTCTTTGAAGAAATGGCTAACTGACGGGCTAGAGCCCAGAAAGCACAAAATAAGCACCTTATTGTGTCAGGCAATAAAATAATTGCTTAAAAGAACAAGGCACTTCTAAAGGATACAGGAGCTGATTTGAAGATACTCCTTGACTGGACAAATCTAGAATAACGTGACTATTAAAAATAATAAAAATCCCTATTATAACCTTAAAAAAACCCCAGAAACCCACAGTGATATAAAGAGCTCAATAAGATGAAAAGGAAAGTTCTTCCTTACAGCAAAATGACAATAAATGTATGATGATGAAAACAGAAAATCATCACTACAATGACAACTGAATCAGGCAAGATTCAGTTATCAACGAAGGTTAAGTGGAGAGGTAGACATTGAAGGGACATAGACTGATAGTCATCCTACAAAAAAAGATTGAAGAACTATTTCAGACTGGTGAAACTTAACAGGCCTGATAACTAAATGAAACACGTTACCAGGTAGGAACCTGGATAAGAGAAACTGTTGGGATATTCGTGGGATCTGAATAATAGCTGTGCATTGAGATAGTAATAATGTCATATATCAACATTAACCAACTGATCTGGAGGGCCGTAAGACGGCTATGCATTTGTGGAGTAATACAGCATGGAGTATTTAAGATGACTGCAGTACCACATCTACAGTTTGGTCTTACATGGCTCCTTTCAGAACGAATAATGGATATGATACTGAGGGTATGGAGGGGTTACAACATTAGCAGCTGGGCTAGCTAAGTGTTCCTGGTATCGTTCTTGCTACTTTAATGAATTTGAAATTATTTCAAAGTAACTCAATTTTAACAATGGAAAGTCTGATTACTCAAGTTATAATTGAATAATGTTAGAAATTTCTGGTATTATACAATGATGCGCTTCATATAACATTCCAAGCTTTGTCTTTCACATACAAATTCAACTCTTTAGTTACCTTGTCCATTAGTTTGGGTTGTAGTTGGTGCACCTGCAGGAGCTGCAGGGGGTGGCTGTGCTTGCTGTTGATAATAGTGAGCATAATAAGCAGCCCAAGCTGCCGAATTTGGATCCGTTCCTGCCTTAGCTAGAATGAATAAACACAAGTTCAAGGTTTGCACTTAAACGTCTGCAATCTCTCTCTCTCTTCCACACACACACACACCCAGCTTTGTGGCAAATACACAGACCTCAAAATTAGGTAGAACATCAAAAATAACCATTAAATGAAAACCTTCAAATTTTCTATTATTTTCATTTTCACTTATCAGCTCTTACTCAAGATCACCGAGGCACAGAGATCACGTTTCCTAGGTTATAAAAACAGCGACAGAACTGGGATATATATAAAGATCTTTTGGCTCCAAATCCACTGCTTTTTTTCCTAAACCCGTTTTGCTTCAAGCACAGCAGTTCTACATGGCCGATGACTAAAGGAAAAGACTTCTAGGGGCTAGTCTGTACAAGAAACAAACCGTGATGAACTCTCTCTGGTCTTATTTTCAGTGAGGAGAAAAAAATCTTAGGAATCTTAAAAGAGATTAGTCACATTCCATCTCATACTATTTCGCAGTGAATGTACATCAACTTGATGTCATCGCCCTACCTGAAATTCTTCATTTATATCCTAGAATTTCCAGGATGTTCAAGGCTTTTAATTACAGCTTACTGTTCAACACCTTTAACAATCTGAACATCACGGCTTATCCATTCCAGCCTCAACTCCCCCTTCTGTCAATCTCTCTTCAATACTCAAGCTCCAGGCACAACACGTCTCTTGTACCTCCTCAGAAGTCGCCGTTCCCGTGGCTAGGCCTTTGGTCCTGCTGTGTTTCCTCTACAATGGCTTCACCCTCTTCATCCCTCACACATCAACTTACGTGTGAACAATCTAGACCAGAATTCCTCTTATTGACTCTGTGCTTTATACTAGGAATATCACACAATACCACAGGTACATTTTTATTAGTTTGTATCAAGAAGAATGTAATTTCCTTAGTCAGAGTCTGTATCTCTACGTGGATTCAAACAGGTAGCAATTCTCAGCTGCTTATAAAGGTTAGTGAAGTCTGAGAAAAAGCAGCAAGGATTTCTAGAAAAAGAAAGTCATAAGGTGATATAATTATAAGGTGGTATTAGACCACCCTCCAAACTTTCTTCGGTTGCTAAATGTAGTGCTTTTCTATGTTGGATATTTACATGTCTCAATAGTGTCATTATCTATACATTAATTTAAAAAATCTTTACCTGTATATGAATTAAGAAATCTATTTCACTTGACACAATGTCTGTATAAAAAAACAAACTTTAGGAAGTAATATCTATATTCCCAAATGTATACACCATTCAAAAAATACCCAGTCTCACAGTTATATATAACCAATATACACTAAGAACTTACTAAATATTCATTCAACATAAGATTCATTCATCATTTTATAGATAAGGAAACAAAGGCCTGGAGGAGCTCAGAAACTTGCTTACATAATTAGTTGTAAAACTAGGACTGACAATGAAGTCTAAATTCCTTATTTATCCATACAGACTATTAACTTTTTATAAAAACAGATTTTAGTTCAGATAACATCAATAATAAAACACTACATAATTCTAAGTCTAATCTATGCAATCTCTAACCCAAAGACTCAATAACCCCTATTTCTCTCCCAAAGGTAATGCTGAAAGCCACATTCATTGACTAGTTATTACTATGGTACTTCACAACTGTAAGTGGCAATTTGTGGTAAAGACCTCTTCTTACCCTCATCATTTTTCTCAATTATGCTATGTACGCAGTAGTATTCACAGTTACAATCCTGGCAGATCCAAATATCTAATGTAAATCTGTTGCCTAACCTGCTCAAACTCTTGAATCCCATTCCTCTGCATAATCAACCATCCCAATTAGCTTACAAGAGAAGCCCTTTCATTCTCAACAGGTTAACCTTTAGAATATTACACAGGAAGTCACATCGGACACTTCGTCTGTACCCTGTGAGCCCTTCTGTCACAGTGTTGTGTATGCTGGGAGTGTTCTTCTGCTATAGAACACAGACCCAACTCTGCATACCCAGATCCTAGAACAACCCAAGCTGTTCCTTGAATGAGTGGAAGCTGTGGTTATTTGGTGACTGTCATGTTGTATCATCATATTCCAAAACGCATACTTCCTGTGAAATTAAAGTACATTATAACATAGGGCCACACTTAAACCAACAATCAATCATTTCAAGTTTTGGGGGATCAGTTTACTATGCGTAGAAAGCAATCCATAATTCAATATACCTTCCTTGAAACTACTCCAAGTCAAAGAGGCCTAAAGGCAGGTAAGCAGGTGAGAAAAGGGGATCATACGTAAGTGTTAACAGGTTGCAAAGAGTAACTCTTTGACCAAGATAGAAGGCAAACTACAGCATATGGAAAGATGCAACGGAACAGAAAGGAATATACATAAAATGCAGATCTGAATAGAGAAAATAATTAAATGTATTTTAGAGTTCAGCATGCAGATATTAAATACAAGTCTGGTATTTACTAAAAAGAGGCTGCCTATCAGGGCACGAGGGCAGCTTATATCTAATTTGACAACTTGGGAGTTTAATGCCCAAGTTATTTTAAGACTGTAACTTTCTTATTTTTTAAGAGATGAAGTCTCACTCTGTGACCCCGGCTGCAGTGAACGGACAAACATAGCTCACTGCAACCTCAAACTTCTGGGCTCAAGTGATTCTCCCAATGAGCTGGGACTACAGAAGCCACCACACCCCGCCCATTCCACAATTTTATAAATAAACTATTCTATCGTGGATGACGTTACAATGAACACACTACACATTTGATAGCATCAGTCTCTAAAGCCTAAGCCACTGTACTTGCTCCTGTAGACTTTAACTTCTAGCATTCTGCTGTATCAACTCACAAGTAGAAGAAAAACGCAAATACAGTAGGAAAAAGTTGCATAAAAGTAGAGATCACACTCATGTCAGTCTTATACACCATGGCAGAAGCAGTAATACTCTGCTGAAAGAGTAAAATGATTGAAGACAGGGCATTAAGTGTAGAATCAGCACTAGGAAAATTTAAAAACGTAACAAGGATGGAAAACAATACAGACACACAAATGAACATCCTTTACCTGGATCAGGAGGAGCCTGCTGCTGCCAGTGTGGGTATGCATTTCCCCATCCCTGGGGAGCATATGGGGCTGGAGGACCACTGAAAAGAAAAGCAGTAAAAAAATACCATTTGCCAAAAGCTCTCATCTTTGTGGGGAATGCCCAGAACTAAATCCAGTACTTACTGAGGAGCTGGGCCGGGTGGTCCTGGATTATAAGGTGCAGGGTTGTATGGTCCCATTGGAGTTCCAGGCCCTGGAGGCCCAGGAGGCCCATGGGGGCCTGGGACACCATGGGGCCCATGGGGTACAGGTGGCCCTAAAGGATTTACCGGGCCCTGCAAAAATCAGAAAAGCAGAGTAACGGTTAACCTTTCAGGCCAGGTCAACTGCCATCTCGACCCTCTCGCAGTCACGAGCAGCACACTTTCGGGCTTCCGTCCTCATTCACGTTGCAAACGCTAGTTTATCTCTGCCTGTAACAGTCATCAACGACATTCACAATTAAACGCACAACGGCACACTTCCTTTAGCTGCCTCCTGTGTCCAGCAGCAGTTTCTGTCCTGTTTCCCTGCCACCATGCAAGCCTGCCAGTAAGCAGGTCCCGATCTCCAGCTCTCCTCTGCACCTGCTCTGCCTCTACTTCCTGACAACAGACACCACATCCACCATATAAGCCCATACCGCCCAGGTGCTGTCCCATCAACTGTCTTCTGAACACTTCACCTACCATGAACAAACCAGTTCACTAACAAACTGAAGTCCACTTCATAATCTTTCCTTTTCTGTCACTGGAACCCCATTTAGACGAGTAATTTAAATTATGTCCTCTTTTGCTTCTCATCTACACAATTTTCTAATAGCATGAAAATTCCCTTTATATAATTCATTCAACAAATCAGGATGCTTCATATCCTGACCATGACACATCATTAATCCACATGCTTAACAGATTTCTTTTTGGTAAACCAAACTGCAAAGACCATTAGAATTACTGCCTTGAGCCGGGCTTGGTGGCTCAGCCTGTAATCCCGCGCCTTTGGGAGGCTGAGTCGAGTGAAATGCCTGAGCCTGTGGGTTCGAGACCCGCCTGGGCAGCGAGACCCCATCTCTACAATAAATCAAAAAATCAGCCGGGCGTGGTAGCGCATGCCTGTAATTCTAGCTACTGGGTAGGCTGAGGCGGAAGGATCGCCGGAGCCCAGCAGGTCGAGGCTGCGGTGGCCGGGAGCAGCCACTGCACTCCAGTCTGGGCGACAGAGTGAGACTCCAACTCAAAAAAAAAAAGAATTACTGCCTTAGAAACGCCCCTTTCAGCTGGGCTCAGTGGCTCAGCTTGTAATCCCAGCACTTTGGGACGCCGAGGCAAGTGGATTGCCTGAGCCTGCGTGATCGAGACCAGCCTAGGCAACCTGGCAAGACCTCATCTCTACAATCAAATAAAAAAAAAGCCAGGCGAGGTAGCACGCATCTATAGTTCCAGCTACTTGGAACGCTGAGGCGGAAGGATTGCTGGAGCCCAGAAGGTCGATGCTGGGGTGGCCATGAGCGTGTGCCACTGCACTCCAGCCTGGGTGAAGGAATGAGATTCCAACTCAGAAAAAAAAAAATGCCCTATGCCCCTTTCATGTAGTAAATATGACCAAGTGACATTTTTGGACAAAATAAAATGTGTAAACTGCATTTGGGTGTCAATTTTCTCACTGCAAAAATAAGGAAATTAAACTTAATGCTTTAAGTCTTCAAGTGTTGTCATCTCTGTTTCCAAGACCCATCTTTTCCAAATAATAAAAAGAAAGTAACACTGAAAAAGTAACCAATGACTTTCCCCTTTTTTGCTAGAAGTACAGTGTCTTCTTATGTTGTCCAGGTTGATCTTGAATTTCTGGCCTCAATGATCCTCCCACCTTGGCCTCCAAAAGTGCTGAGAGTAGAGGTGTGAGCCACCATGCCCGGTTGCAGCAACATCTTTACAGAACTATGTGCCTTGCATTCTTTTAAGTGACACACACACGCAATCCCACAACTCTATGAAGTAGGTAATCCCACAACTCTATGAAGTAGGTAATATTATCCTTATTTTACAGGAGGAAACAGAGGCACTGAAGAGTATAAATAACTTCTTCAGGGTCACACGGCCAGTAAATGATTCACAGGATTGAACCCAGGCCACCTAACTCCGAAGTCCATGCTCTTAACCACCAACCCAACTTGTTTTCCCATGAATACAAAAGAAATCCGGATCTTGCATGCAAGGTTAAAGTAAAATAAAAAGGCGAGATGTGATATTCATTTTTCTGCTCTGGCATCAACCTTTGCCTTACTCAGTCCACAAGCATTCTCTCTGTTTTTCAAATAATCTACACAAAAGAACCGGCAGTGTCTGTATGCACATTTCCAGAAGATGTTGTTAACTGTCTTCTGCACATCTATATTTGTCTTCTCAAGCAGACCGAATCGGTATCCAACTTCTTTTGCTCCCCGTTCACAGCACAAGCAACACCAAAAAGAATATTCCTAAAAAATTCTGATCACTAATAATTTAAGATGCTCCCCCACACCTCAAGTTAGGGACACAAGACCATTATAAATAATGAGCTCTGATACCTATCTCCTTCAAAGATGTGTCGCAACCTTCCACCAACACTAGCATCATACCTGCCGGTCACACTACCCTCTCTGACCTACATGCACCCAAATGTAAGGTGGTTCTGAAAACCTGTAACTGTGGATTTACTTAGGTCACTTGCATTGCTGGAAAGTCCTATTCATGTTTTATCTACTATATGCCTGTATGTCATGAAACCTGAAGTTTCAGATCAGACGCTGAGTTATTTTCCTGTGGTGGCTCTGAATGGATGCCCTGCGTGCACAACTAACAAGGCCGTGGTCATCCACTGAAGACTAAAGCACACTCACACCAATCTTTTCCTCGATGAGCTGTCGTGCGTAGTCTATCTGCTGTGGAGTGCCACGGACTGTAAACAGCTTCATGTTAGGATCTGCATTAGGTGGAGGATTCCTCTGAAGTTCTATCCTTGCGCCAGACTGTTGGCTTATGCTTTTTATGGTTTCACCTCCTAAGAAAAAGACAGCAGTTTCTATAAAGGTTCCAAGGATGCAAGAGGAGTTAGAAGAAAATGGTCACAATGAAGGACCTTTAAAAAAAAGTTGTAGCCGGGCTTGGTGGCTCAGCCTGTAATCCCACGCCTTTGGGAGGCTGAGGTGAGTGGATTGCCTGAGCCTGCGGGTTTGAGACCCGCCTGGGCACTTGGCGAGACCTCATCTCTACAATAAATCAAAAATTAGCCGGGCGTGGTAGCGCACGCCTGTAGTTCCAGTTACTTGGAAGGCTGAGGCGGAAGGATCGCGGGAGCCCAGCAGGTTGAGGCTCTGGTGGCCGGGAGCGGCCACTGCACTCCAGTGTGGGCAACAGAGTGAGACTCCAACTCAAAAAAAAAATAAAAAAAATAAAAAAGGTTGTGTCCAGTACCCTATTTGAAAAAACTCTCCCTTTAATATACTTTAAGCTAAAGTATACGAAGCATTTCATGCTTCTCTTAAAATACATTTATTTACTTTGCTTATACCCAATCTTAAGGTGAACTATCAACGTTATCTGGTTTGAATAAATCACTTTTAAAAGCAATGTAAGCATAAACATTCGAATTTAAAAAAAAGCAAAATGAGTCAAGAAAAAAACAAAAACACTCTATCAGGCTGGGTCTGATGGCTTACACTTGTATTCCCAACACTCTAGGAGGTTTAGGTGTGATGACTGCTTGAGCCTAGGAGTTTCAGACCAGCCTAGGCAATACAGCAAGACACTGTTTCTACAAAAAAAAAAAAAAAAAAAAAAATTAGCTAGGCGTGTTGGTGTGTGCCTGTAGTCCCAGCTACTTAGGAGGCTGAGGTAGAAGGGTTGCATGAGCCCAGGAGGTTGAGGATGCAGTGAGCTGATTAAGTCACTGTATTCCCACTTGGGCAATAAGAGTGAGACCCTGATGCAAACAAAACAAACACTCAAACCACTCTATGGGTCAAAAGTTTCTTGCACTAATAATGAACTCTTGATCCTCTTTCTCGATAACTGAAAGAGATTCAAACCCCACTCGTATTTCATAAGTATACATGCGATCCTTCATTTGTGTTTTAGTCGTTATTTATTAATGTAAAAATGCTTTCTCTACTAAAACACAAAGAAAAGTCATTGGCCCTTTGTACAACAAAGTGTCCAGAAAAATGAGGTAACTTATTATACGATAAGAGCGTAAAATTCATTACCTTTTCCTATTATTAGTCCAGTTTTCCCAGTTGGCACAATGAAATTAAATTCCTGCAGTCCACCAGGCGGTCCCATGTTCCAGTTGCCCTGACCTCTACCTCTTCCTCGACCACCAGGACCAGGTCCACCTGGGTTACCAGCCTAGGGAGAAGGAAATACAAGAAAGCACAGAAATAAATTCTTCTTTTCACGATAAAATTATTACAGCTGTTCTTCCTAATCCTAAACCAAAAATTTAGAGATAAAGTGGCCCAAGTAATCACCAAGAAATAACTACCATTTACTTTTTATACATGGGTGAATAAGGTAGCACATGTATGTGGAATTTCTTCCTACTCCAAGAGGTATACCTTAAAGCAATTCAAACTTTTTAGCCACTAGTAAAGCACCACAAAGCAGACTGATATAAAAGTATCGGGGGAGAAACTTTCAGTTTTGGTAAAGGGAAGATATATATATATATATATATATATTATATATATACACATCTCGATAGGTGTACTGCATCAGAGTATTTTGAAGATGAATGAAATTCAAACATGTAGTAGTAAATGTACAGTCTTTTATAAATTCCAGTTTTGCTGGGGTCCCCCTCGTGTGTAAATTCCAGCCAAACTGGAATTTATAAAAGACTGTACATTTACTATTACATGTTTGAATTTAATTCATCTTCAAAATACTCTGATGCAATACACCTATCGAGATGCTGTTTCCACTACTCAAAAGTTTTTGAACTTGTTAATTTTAATGCCTTTTAGTGCTTCTGCTGTTTTTCGTTCCACCACTCCCACAGTGGCAAAATGTTTCCCTATGAGGACTTTTTTCATTGGGGAAACAAACAAAAAAAGTTGCTTGGGGCAAGATTGGGTGAATGGAAGGGTGGGGCACAGAGGTCATGCCATTTTTGGACAAAAACTGCTGAAAATTCAGCAAAGTGTGGTCAGGTATACTTGTAAATCACTAATCTTGAAATGGGAAAACACACTTAAAAATAAATCTCGCCCCAAAATTTCACCAAGTCGAACGCAGACTGGCAACAATGTTAGCTGGTACATGAGCACTGGTACCAACGGGTTCCTAGAACACTGACCTAGTGGGGCAAGCCTGTACTACAAGGGGCTTACTTCTAAAAAATAACTCCAGATTTTTTGGGGTTTTCCGTAAGGTCTTGCTCTGTTGCTCAGGTTGGAGCGCACAGTGCAACCATGGCTCGCTGTAGCTGACTCTTGGGTTCAAGATCTCCTCCTGCCTCAGCCTCCCGAGTGCCTGAGACTACAGGCATATGCCACCACCCTGTTTTTTGTTTTTTTTCTCATACAGAAGGGCTCTTGCAATATTGTCCAAGCTGATATTGGAACTCCTGACCTCAAGCAATCCTCCTGCATCAACCTCTCAAAGTGCTGGGACTACAGGCATGAGCCACTATGCCTGGCCAGAAAAATTTTTATATGAAAACAAATAATGAAAATGTCAACTGTCTATCAAACCTGAACACTTCGCAGCAGGTCTGTAATGATTTCTGCAGCATGCTGACATCGGTCAGGAGGGCCCGTGACCTGTGCTATCCTGTCAGGTGTTGTCCCATCATCTTCAAAAGAAATAAAAACAAATTGGCTTCATAAAACAATACACGTGTAGGTGTCAAAACTAACTGCTACCAACATTTTGAAGACTAATGTTATGTACCCACCTGGCTTAAACTGAATTCGAACCCCAGCATCATTTTGTATCTTTTTGATCATCTCTCCGTTTCTTCCTATTACAATACCAACAGCAAATCTTGGAATGGGGACCTATGTAAAGAAGACTTAGTATCAAGAAAGTCATTCCTGAAAATTAATCTGCACCAAATCATAAAAGTGCATATAATGCTACATTTATAGCAGATAAGGCAAGAAGATACAAAACAAAATTCTGTATTCTAAAGTAGAAATGAAAGAACACAATGTTAGAGTAGGCTACTTAACACAAAACAGGAACAACATGCTATTTATGGATTAGCATACAACCACTCCTGATGGGTATTTTTACTTACATCTATCCCTTCATTTCCTCCTATTCTTGACCCATACTCATTTCGAACTTCTCTGAAACCACCTTGATCACGAATTAACTCTAACACCATTTCCTTGGCTTGCTAAGGTAGAAAAAGTTAGTTAATTTAGAAAACATGTCTCAAAACATTTAAATTATTCATGCATGTTTTGCCCAACCCCATCCAACCCAAACTTCTTCATAGAGTATAAAGTTAAATTTACTTGAACTTTATATGGATCTCCTGTAATCCTAAGAGGTTTGTCAGCACCAGTGTTCTGAGGCCCATCTTGAATCATAACCATTTTCACTCCAGCCCGCTCCTGTTAATGACCACAGAAATCATGTGTTTTAACGAAAGGACAATGGAAGAAAACCGGCATCAAAACAGTCTAGAAGTATTCATTTTACAAGCATAACAATACCTGGAGTTGTTTAATAGTTTCTCCCCCCTTTCCAATAACCAATCCCGCCTTGCTAGCTGGAATCATAATTTCTTGAACAGCATTTCCTGGTCCATCACCATGATGGAAGCCAGGAGCTGGTCTTCCTTTTTCAACAATCTGGTCCAGTAACCGTTTTGCTGATCTGTCAAAAAATTGATATTCAAATATTAAGGCATGCACAACCAACATTATCAAACAGAGAAACGTGAAATAACATAATCAAGTACCTCCCTATACCAATTCAGTATTAGGTGCCTTGATGCTAATTTTAGCAATACTTTTTTTTTGTAATTGGCGTCTCACTCTGTTGCCTAGACCAGAGTGCAGAGGCATGTTCCCGGCCACCACAACCTCGACCTGCTTGGGCTCCGGCGATCCTTCCACCTCAGCCCTCCAAGTAGCTGGGACTACAGGTGCACACTACCACGCCTGGCTAATTTTTTTTATTTATTGTAGAGACGATTTATCACTCTATCAAAAAGATACCTGCACACGTATGTTTATTGCAGCATTGTTCACAATAGCAAGAACCTGGAAGCAACCATACTGTCCATCAAAAGAGGACTAGATTAAAAAAATGTGGTACATACACACGACAGAATACTACGCAGCCATAAAAAAGAACAAAATCATGAATTTTGCAGCAACCTGGATGGAACTAGAGTCTATAATACTGAGTGATCTCTCACAGAAACAAAGATCTGAGTATCCCATGTTCTCACTCATATAGTGAACCTTGAACATCCAACATAATACTATAAGAAAATGACTGACACTGGTGGGAAACTATGGGGGTGGGAGGGGAAGGGAGATGGGATTAACGGTAGTAAATATCTGTCTGGGGATGGGGAGACACCCCTTATGAACAAGGGTGCCTGAATGAAGCATATCTGTGTACCTAACCCTTAACTGTACCCCACAATATCATAATAAAAAATATTGAATAAAAAAAAACGAGAAAAGAAAATGCCATCAAGGGTCAAAGACTGAATCTATGCAATTAATTTTCCAAGTATGTAATTTTTATTTTGAGAACAGTCCAAAATTTCAAAGAAGGAACAATCAAATTCTAAGGCTATCTCAGAATTCAGTGGATTCCTCTGAAAACTATTTACTTAAATTTTAAGACACCAGTTTTGCTTTCTTACATATTAAAATTTATTTATACATCCAACAAATACTTAAATATCGACTATGTGCCAGGTGCTATTCTAGGCAATAGGGTTACGGTACTGAAGAAAACAGGGATTCAGCTAGAGGCTGAACTTCATTAAATAAGTAAAAATAAGTAAAAAAAATAAGTAAAAAAACAGGGGCTTAACTTCATTAAATAAGTTAAAATATGTCAAATAAATAACATGCTATTTAGTAAATGCAATAAAGAAAAGCAAAGCAGGATATATTAGAACAGAAGGTGTCTATGTGTATGCACACATAAGAAAGTGCTATTTTATACAAAATAGATATGGGAGACCTTAGTGATAGAGACATTTGAGTCAAGACCTATAAGAGGGAGGGGGACGATGAAAACATCTGGGGGGAAATGAACAGGAAATGCAAAGGCCTCGAAAGATTCCAAATGGGGCTAAGAACAGGTGAGCTGACGGAAGAATGGTTTAAAAAAAAAGCAAGTGCGAGAGCATGAGAGCAGGCTATGATAAAGACATTGACTTTTATTTTAAAGTAAATGGGAAAGCATCAAGGACTTTGAAAAGAATAGTGATATAAACTGATTTACATTTCTTTTTATAGCCAGATACTTTTTTTTTTAATCAATATTTTTTATTATGGTTTTGTGGGGTACAGTTAAGGGTTAGGTGTACAATTACGTTTCATTCAGGCACCCTGTTGATAAGAGGTGTTTCCCCATCCCCAGACAGATATTTGCGACTGTTAATCCCATCCCCCCCCGTAGTTTCCCAGTACCGTCAGGCATTTTCTTAT